TACTGTAATAGTTATATACAAATAAATTTATATTTTTTAATAAAACTAACATTTTATTTATACAGTATGTTTAATCATCATACAGTATTTAATTATTATTTTATAATATATAGATACTAATTACTTTTTATATTGTATAATAAAGTAATTACTATAGTATTTATAGAATAATTCTAAAGTTGTTATTGTATTTTACTTATAATTAAAAATTAAAGATAATTATATAATAAATATAAATTTATTTAAGGTTAAACATAATGTAATTTATCTAATTTACATATTATTATAATAAAATAATTAATAAAATATAAAACAAATTAATAATATAATTTTAATAGTAATTGATAATATAATTTTAATAGTAATTAATAATATAATTTTAATAGTAATTAATAATATAATTTTAATAGTAATTAATAATATAATTTTAATAGTTATTAATAATATAATTTTAATAGTAATTAATAATATAATTTTAATAGTAATTAATAATATAATTTTAATAGTAATTAAAATTATGACTAAAATTTCTCTAACTTGTTATATAAGTAGTTTAAATTAAATATTATTTTTTTAGTTATTAATTTTTTTTTGAGTCATAAAAATATAACATTGTTTGCACATTAATTGACTATTTAATTAATTTTTTAAAAACTTCAATTTTATATAATTATTAAAATAAATAAGGTTTTTGCATTAAATATAGTATAAATTGCTATTAAATTGATTGAATATATAAAAATACTTTTATGATATTTTAGTAAATAATTGTTTTTTATATATTATTAGATAAATCTTAATTAATCAATAATGATAAAACGTTATGAATTAATCCCATCATCACTGCGGGTGCCGTTAGCCGCACACCAGTTGTATAAAATTGGTTTAATTATATCCAAACCAAACACTGGTATTACTAGACATCGGATCAATCATCCAATTGTAATGTTTGCTATATTTTTGTATTTTCTAATTGTATATACAATACAATTGATAAATAATGGCAAAAATGATACACTTGTCATCGTGTTTGGCGATTTTGCACATCTATTTAAACTTGGATTTGATTATTATATAGTGATTATAATAGTTATGATTTTCTGTATAATTACTCAATCGATATACTATTACAATCATTTATGTGGTATTTCGCCGACATTTATGTCAGTGTTTGATATGATGTCTGGTTTGCGGACACCTCTTAGTGTTGGTCTTACAGACAGTCAGTCTATCATTAAATTACTTAAAACATCAAAATTATTGTATAATTATTTTTATTATCTTCCATATATCCAAATGATTTGTGCATTTATGTGTCCTCTATCTATTTTATTATTTTATCCAGTTAATTTATTAAATTTAACACTTTGCTTAATAAATAGTATATTATTTAGTATATTAGGCCATAATTTTGTTTCAATAATAATTTGGCAATTATTTTATTTATATTTATTGTGTTATTACTGTAAATTGAGAGTAAACTCATTAATTGCTAAATTTATTGTTTGTAAACGACAATTGAATTATCAAAATTTATTGAATAAATTGAAAGCATTGAATATATTTATTAATCATATCAATGAATATAATATTACTTATTGGTCTAAATATTTATTGAATATTTGGTGTATTTTTGGTTCAGTATTAACATATTTAATATACATTATTATTTTTAGTGATATGTTATTAATGATGAAAATTGTTATAATTTATACAGCATTTTTGATGTCTATATTTTTTTTATTAATTATATTCACAGTATCATCAGTAAACTACCATGCTAATAATTTATATAAAATATTGTTAAAATTCTAAAGTGTTATATTATATTTATTATTATATTTACTTTAACAAATTAATGTTAATTAACTATTTTGTTTATACATTTTTAATTATAATTAAGAATAACTCATTTATTATTAAATGTTAATTTTGTAATATTAGATTATTTAAAATACATTAATAACTAAATTTGATTAAATACATTATATGATTAAAAATAATTTATAATTTTAGATAATACTTATTTATTGTAATTATGTATTTATAATGGAATTATTCATAATTAATTTATTAAATTGATGCATAATTCTGTTAGTAATACCAGTATAGCACTGGCCGTTACAATACACAATACAATCAGCAAATCGTAAACAAATCTCTGGTCAATGTATATGTTGTTATAGTTGTTAAACAGTTGATATTTTTCAAGATATTTGGTATATGTCGAGTTGCGACTGTCCTCGAGAAACCTCCGTTGGCCATCCAGTTCCCAAAATATGTTTTGTCTATCATAGGCCGCATTGTTAATACCATATATTTTAATCTAATTAAAAATAATTTTTTAACTAAAAAAACAAATTTAAATACAACATAAAATTTCTATACATTTTTAATAATTTTATAATAGTTTTAGTTGTTTTGGTACTAATTAGATATGACATATAAATTGGATGATATTTTTTATCACTTAATTCCAGATTAAATAATTGATAATTTAATTTCGCTTCCATAGCATTAATACCGTCTCTAATATAAATCATTTTTGTGTCGGAAATCTGTTTTACATATTCCTATAATAAAATATTTTTTTTTATATAATAAACTTTAATTATTTTTATTTTTTAACTTACAATATCATCTTTCATTTGTCCATATTTGATTCTACCTTGTTCATACATTAGTTGCATATGTGAATTGACCATGGATGATTTATATTTTGTTTGCATATTAATTATATCGTAATAAATCCACGAATCAATTGGTAACAGTGCTGTCATTTTGCTGTCAACCAATTGGTCGGTTGTATCGATTTTGACAATATCTGTGTTCATAGTATTGTTGATAATATCTACGGTAAAACAATTAGATAGTATCAGTGCCATTGATGACCAAATTACTAACAATAGATTATGTTGTAGTACTAGTCCATCATAGGATTGTTTGATTAGATGACATGAAGTTTTTATTAGAAAATCAATCATGCTAATTTTGTATCCATTTAATCGATATCTAATAAACAATGTAATGGATACTAGAATTATGGACAGTCCTATTAGAAGCCATAGTCTAATAGTAAATGCCATCATTATTGAGCTGAGATCTGTTTGTTTTTTAAATTGACCCGTCACCATTACCAAACTAAAATCATCTTTGTACCATTGACCCTGAGCAAATGCGTACATATCTTCGCTAATAGCCCATGGACTTAAAATTATATCGATTAACTATTATTTTAAATTACAAAACTTTTTAACTTATTATATATATATAAAGTATATCCAAAATATTGTCAGATATTTTTAGTTTTATTAAACATTTTATTTTAACTTTTCTAATTGATTTTATTCTCTTAAATATTACTTTAAATATAACCTATTTTTATGTTGATTTCAATATATTAAATATAAAACATTTCATGTATTTATCTTAGTATATCATTTACATTTGAATTTATGAATATAACTATGAATTTTGTTTTACTATATAATAATATTAGACTTAATATAATTTTTATTGTATGTCTAAAAGGGCTACAATCCAAACATTAAAGTATTTCAAAGTAGCCGATTGTGCGGCCACTTACCCATACATGTGTATAAAAATAGGACACCGATTGACCATTAAGGCAATCACTCTCTCCACACACACATTACTATACTTTGTTAAACTTAATTTCATTGACTATTGTAATACTTTTAATAATAAATACCATTTCAATAAAAGTTTTTATAATTATTTCAAAATTACGACTGCAATTATTTTCATATTTTTTGTTTAATAATTTATAATATTTTCAAGCAACTTTATATATATAATAATTAATAGTACAAATGTTTTTTGTAATAATTTATATATAAATATATAGATACCGGATTATTTGTCATTAATTTATTAAAGTCAATCCAACAGCATCTGTACTCAACGGTTGTATCAAATTTTTCAAATAACACTTTCATCACAAAACTGTCGTAAAAACAATCGGTTTGCTATATAAACAATTTTTTTATTACTAAATTTTATTACTAAATATTACTAAAAATATTACTAAATTATATTTAACGTTTAACTTTTGTATTAATATTATATATAATCTAGATTTGTGATAATAATAACTAATAATTTACATACAAACAAAATTTTGTAGATATAAAGTGGTAAACTGTTGTTATTATAATTAAATTTATGTTTACCATCATTAATATCTAAACATTTACCTAGATACTCTTTTAAATTCCAGGTCATTATTATTTTTACTAAATTTTTCTTTAGCACATAATTTTTAAGTTTTGAACTTATTTATGAAATATTTATATAAATGAACTAGTTTATTATATTATTATAATTATACTTAATAATATTAATTATTAATGCAAAAAAATAATTGATTTTTATTAATAAGTTATAATATATTTTTTAGCTAAGTAAATAGTAATATATATTTTTACTAGTTTAAATAAATATAATTAATTTATAATACACTGTATATATATATATAATATATATTTTATATTAAAAACAAATTTGTCCTATAAAATTAAATTAAGAAAATAAATTTCTACTATTAATAAAATATTAAAATCAATAAATTATACCCCCTCGTTTTATTTATTATACTAATTATGTTTATAGTATATTTATATATAAAGTTTTTTTGTAAATATAAAAAATTAATCACTTTAGATTTTAGTTTTTTAATATTTGTACAATATTATTTATATTATAATAAATTAATTAATTTTATTAAATTTTGTTTAAATTTAGTTTATCATATTGTATTGCAATAGTTTTTATGTAAACATAATAAACTAAAATAATTTTATTGTATTATAAAATAAATTAAATGCAATAATTTTTTTTTTGAATTATTAATATAGACTTAATTTTAATAATAATTAGTTTATTTTATGTTTAATATCCTTAATTTTTTTTATTAATTTATTAAAATAATTTAAAAAATAATTTATAAAATTTTATTAACAATTAATTGTTATTAATTGTTATTTATTCATCATTTCCTTCATCTTTGACATATAAGCTTTCATATTGTTAATGAACTGTTGTCTGACTTCCGGCGCCACGATATTGATCTCCTGATAATAGGGTAGCGATTGTGCCAATCCATCGCTCCATTGTTTGAAATGTGGATACTCTGTGAGATCCTGATCCAAGAGTGTCGTACCGGCACTGGTGGCCAACAACGACAAATCGGCGATTGTTAGACGATCGCCGACCAGGTATTGCCGATTGCCGATCAATTGATCGATGAGTTTAATGTTAGCCCACAATTGTTTTTCATCTTCAGGTTTTACAGGCATACCATAATAGCCGGTAACCTAATTATACATTTATAAAAACAATATTTTAAATGTTAAATTAATTTAATACTAATTAATTGTTTTTGTTTAAACAACATTTATTACTTACCAAAGTTTGTCTTATTTTAATATACAATGATATATCCATATTGAGCCACATATCTACCTGTGCTCTTAGTTTAGCATCTTTGGGATACAGTGTACTATCCGGTGCATACTTGTTGCACAGGAATTGCATTATAGCCCGACTTTCCCACATAACAAAACCGTTGTCATCGATAGCGGGAACGGCATGTGTGGGATTCAACTAAAAAAATATTGGTTAAATATTAATTATATTTTTAAAAAATCTTATTTTTATAGCATATAATTAGTTAAATTAATTAAATAATTATAAATACCTTAACAAAATCTGGTGATAATAGTTCACCTTTTGATGGATCTATTAGTTTTTCATTGAGTTTTACATTGATTTCCAGAGCTGTCATCAGCACTGCCCTACAAGGAGGACTAACTTTAAACATGTATATATCAATTGGCATATTGTTTCTTATTAACTTATTCACAAATGTAATAAATTTAAAAAACAAAACTTTCTTTACTTTGCTATTTCTAAAAAAATAATTGTATAAAAAACTGAATAATAGTTTTTTTTATTAATTAATACAATTGTTAATAACTAATAACAAAAATTTGTCTTTTCAAAAAAAAAACTTTTCTGCTTTATATACTAAATGTTACCATAAAATTGTAGTATAAGTTACAGGTAAACCTTTGTAAGTTTGTAATTTCTGAAAAATTTATTTTTTTGCGCACCCACTATTTAATATAAGGTATTAACAAAATAGATTAAAAAATATTACCACAAATACTAATGTATAATATTATTAATGAAAATATTTGCACTATAACATAAACTATTATCTAGTACATTTACTGGCACTGATAGATATCACAATTGATAAAGTAAATATTTTTTATTTTATTTTTAAACTATTGTATTGTTATATATTATACCTGTTTTATTTCATAGTTTATTTCAATACAAAAGTGCATAAACTGTTTTATCAATAATTATTTCGATATTATGTTTAATAACATTGCATTATTTACTACTTGAAAAGTTTATTACAGTATTAATAGTTTATTATTAAAACCAGTATTAAAACAGTAGATTTTAATGCAAAAGTGCAAAAACTGTTTATAAATTTATTGTTTTGTCATACATTAATATATAAAGAAATACAGTATTATATTTTTAACTTAAATGTCAATACTATGGCAATAATTATTACATAGTTTTTACTATTTGTAGAATAAGTTTAGTAAAAATAATAATATCTAATAAATAACCTTGATAATTTGTTTAGATGTGTATGTTACCTTGACACTAAAAATGGCATATGTGTTTATTTATTTATTAATAACATTTAAGTGATTTTATGAAAAATTTAACGTTTTCATAAAAATTATCTATCATAATTTCATTTTTTTAAAATTATAAATAAATATAAAATAATAATAAATAAATTATATGAATTAAGATTATGTAAAAGTGGGTGTATGTGTTTGTTTGTTAATTTAAAAAAAAACAATAATTTGAATTAAAAATTTTATTTATTTTCAACATTTATTTTGTTTTAATTAAGACAAAATTATCATTAATATGGCAAAACATTGCCTCTAAAATCAATTATTTTGCCCCGGTGCTCACTAACTACATTGCGCATAACTGTTAGCAAATCGGCACATGTAGTATCCACTTCCTGGGGCGCCTCCTGTCCACCCATGTCAGTTTTAAGCCATCCCGGATGCAGTCCGACGACCAGTATGTTATCGGCTTTAAGATCATGGGATAGTTGTTTGGTTATCATATTGAGGGCCGCTTTGCTGGCCCGGTAGGGATAGGCAGATATGTTAAAGTCGCTGATCTCGTCAAACATACCAATTGATCCTAACATTGACGTAACATTGATTACCAATGTTTTGCGCTTTGATGAAGCTATCTGTAAGTATTGGTTATTATTAAAATTTAATAAACAACTATATACTATATAAACATAATTATTTTAATTATTAAAAATATTAGTTGTATTATAATAGTTAAAGGGTGTAACAACAAATTGACATACTCTGAGCACCGGTAGTAGGGAACGTGTTAGAAATAATGGTACGACAGCATTGACCTCAATATTTTCAACCATTTGCTCGGGTGAGACATCACTGAGCGATTGGTCAAACTTTATGCCGGCATTATTGATGAGTACGTCTAACCCGTGGTCGCCAACTATGTCGGCCACCTGTTTGGCAAACGTATCGAAACTCTTATAGTCTTTACCCTCCAGTTTGAGAACATGTAGATTAGGATATTGTTCTACGAGCTGATCCAAATCCGGATTAGTTGATTGTCTTGTAGTTGCAATCAAATGTATCGGCGGTTCGGTAGCCGATAGTAATTGTCTGGTCAGTCCCAGACCTATGCCACGGTTGGCGCCAGTGATGAGTACCGATTTGAAGCTCATTGTGTTTTAATAGCATATATTATTTAGTTTATCTATTGTCTAAATGAATGTATAATATAAAAAGTTAAAGTATTTATTTAATACACTTGAATAAAATAAGCAATTAATACAGTAGTCAATAATAATAATAACTATTATTTATATCACATATTAAATACAATATACTATTATTTATTACAATATTTATTTGAAATTAAATGATAAGAATTTCTTGTAAAAAATAGTTATTAATAAATTATATATTATTATACATAAAATATATATATTCTTTATATAAAATATATGTATATAAAAAGTAAAAATAATAAATATTATGCAAAATTAGCTCATTTTTGTAGTTTAATATAAAGTACTAGACGATGGCGCTCAAACAATATAATAAAGGACCTTGAACAAAAAAATATATATTTGTTTTAAATGACTTTGCTGAGTATATTTTCAAAAACTATTCATAATATATTTAAATAATAAAACAATAGAGTTTACTATTTATTATTATACCGGTATAATAAAAATTATTTGGACTAAAATTGATAAAAGTAAAAATCATTTAACAATATTTTAATACATTAATGATATAAATATTAAATTTGATATTATTATTTACATAATACAGTATATTAGTTAACATAAAGATATAAAATTATTTTTAAAATATCTATAACATGTAAATTATAATATTTTTATTTTTCTGCTAAGATATTTAATATTTATTTTTTTTTATTAACAATTACCATGGTAAAATACCGCCCGTATAGTTAACTAATCTACCATTACTACTATCATCAATGAGTTTGATTTGTTTGATTATCCCATTGCAACCATCGGCCACTTCAGTTAGTGCCCTGTGTCCCCCCATATCGGTTTTCAAGTGTCCCGGATGCAAACTAATCACATATATGTTGTCCCGTTTGAGGTCAATAGACAAACATTGGCTAATCATATTGAGCGCAACTTTGCTGCACCGATACGGGTATCTACTGAACCACTGGCCATCGGGTTTGGGTTTAGTCAACTCTATTGAACCCAAATATGCCGATATGTTTATCACTGCTGTCTTGCGTTCAGCAGATGCTACCTATCAATGGATATTAATATATTATGAAGTTTTTATTATATAATAGTATACAGTATATAATATTTATAATACTAGTTATGACATACCTTTAGTTGTGGTAACAGTGCTTTTGTTAACATTAATGGTGAGACAGTATTGATTTCAAAGTTTTCAATCATATCGTTGGCGGTGACGGTATCCAGCGGCGACGTGATGTATACACCGGCATTGTTAATCAATGTATCCAAACCACGGGCACCGACTATTTGCTGTACCTGTGCGGCAATACCAGTAGGTGTGTAGGCCGTAAAACTGTCGTATAATTTGCTATCCATATGCAGCACATGTAGGTTCTGATGTTGTGCGGCCAAAGCGTCCAACTCGGCTCTGTTGGCCGTTGGTCTAGTGGTAGCAATCAGGTGTTTGGGTGGATTCGGTTCGGCCAACAATTGTCTGACCAGTTCGAGACCGATACCCCGGTTGGCACCGGTAATCATAACTGTTTGTAAACTCATTGGAAATTTATTATTTGAAAAATATAAATGCAAATTTTGCTAAAATAAGTTATTTAACAATTTATTTAACCGTATTGTATATTAAAAAAAAATTGAAATAAAAATATCAATTTTACTGCCAATAGTTATTTGTCAATAATTTTATAGTAAAACTGTTTATTTTGTGTACATTTGTACAACTGTACTAATTATGTACTCAACATTGTAATGATAATATTGCAACTGTATATAAAATGTGTATATAAATGTGTGAACTGCAGTCATATAGCATTTAATTTTTATGATAAAATAAATTTTCTAAATTTTATTTTTTATATAATATTTTAATAAAATATTAGTTTTTACTTTTTTATTGCTAATTATTGTATTATAAAATAAAGTAGTAGCAAAAAATGCAATAGTAATAATAATAATAATAATAATAATAATAGCATTGATAAATATAAATTTTTAGAATTTAATAATAAAAACTTCATCATAAAAAATCATTATATTAAAAAACACAATTAGAAATATAAATAAATAAAAATTAAATGTAAATAATTATAATTTTTGTTGTTGTCTTGAATTATAATCATTTTTACTAGACAATCACCAAGGAACTAATCCTCCCTCATGACTAACCAATTTACCATTACTATTATCATCAATTAATTTGATTTGTTTGATCACCCCTTTGACACCATCATTCACATCAATTGGTGCAGTGGGTCCACCCAATTGGGTTTTAAGATGACCCGGATGCATACTAATAACATATATATTGTCCTGTTTGAGGTCATTAGACAAACATTGGCTAATCATATTTAGCGCGGCTTTACTGCACCGATAGGGATATCTACTAAACCACTGGCCTTCGGGTTTGGGTTTAGCCAACTCTATTGAGCCGACTCTCGACGATATATTTACCACTGCTGTCTTGCGCTGAACCGATGCAACCTATCAATTAAAATAATGTATAAACATATGGATTAATATAATTTTTTTATAAACTTGAAATAATAATGTTTAATAACAAATAAATATATTTAGTGTTAATATTAAATAAATTATTATTTTTATATTATTAATAAAATAATAATTTATATTATCTGTGACTATAGAGTAGTTTAAAAGTTCAATTTATCTTTATAATATTATTTTTAATAAATAAATATTATAAAAATTTATATAATTTAATAATTACTGTAAAATCAGTAAAATCATACCTTAAGTAATGGTAACAATGCTTTTGTTAGCATCAATGGTGAGACAGTATTGATCTCAAAGTTTTCAATCATATCATTGGCGGTAACGTTGTCTAACTCTTTAGATATGGCAATACCGGCGTTAATAATAAGTGTATCCAAACCACGGGTGCCAACTATTTGCTGTATTTGGTCGGCAATACCGCCCGTTGCAGCAAAACTATCGTAGGCTTTGCTTTCCATATGCAGCACATGAAGGTTCGGGTGCTGTGCGACCAACGTATCCAATTCGACTCTGTTAGTTGTCGGTCTAGTGGTGGTAATCAAGTGTTTGGGTGGATTCGGTTCGGCCAACAATTGTCTGACCAGTTCGAGACCGATTCCCCGGTTGCCACCGGTAACTAAAACTGTTTGCAAACTCATTGTAAAGTTTATTTATAACAAAATCTTAAATTTAACAATTAAATTAATAAAGCTATTATAAAAATTTAGTACTTTTTATAGTATTCACAGAATATAAACTAAGCAATTGTTCTGCAATTTACTGCAATTTTATAGATAATATATTAATATTATTATTACTATTAGATATATTGTATTGTATAGTATATTATGTATAAATACTAACAGCATTTAATGCACTTCAATGAAATAAGCGATTATTATATTAATAGTAATATACTGTAATATTAATTTAGCAAACATTTTAATTCACTTATATTGTATATTAAATAAAGATAGTTTTTGATATATTATGTTTGATAATACAATAATAAACTTTAGTTTTCAATATATTGAATCAATCAATATATTCAATATTTATACTAAAATATAAACAATAAATACTCAAACAAATTGAAGTCATAATATAATATTGATTTCTAAACGACCTTGTACCAAAATAATATTGACTTTTTTATATAATACTGTATAGTGATATTGTTATAATTTATAACTTATAAGTAACTATTTACAAACACACTAAAATAAATAATTTACTATTTAACAGTATTTTGAATTTTAAAAATAAATTATAATTTTGATCTATATTTTCATACTTAACTGTAATTATTTTTATAGTCAATTTGTTGTTAGTATAACTAACTAACCTGTAAGTATAATATTACATGTATTTCTCATGTGTTAAATTAAATTAAAAATTTTAATTTATATGTTAACAATTTACATTGTTAAATTAATTTTTTATATAATCCTAAAATATTTAATTAATTATTACTGTAATCAGTATATGAAACTTTACTAATGGTAATAATAAATATAATTTTTTATTTAATAGTTTAACAATTTTATTAAGCAACATTTATAGATAAAAAATGAATACCATAATTATTTATTTATTGTTTTTAATTATTAATATTTTAACTATACAATAAAATTACCATGACAATATTCCTCCCGCATAGCTAACTAATTTACCATTACTATTATTATCAATCAATTTGATTTGTTTGATAATCCCTTTGACACCAGCATCAACTTCAACTGGTGCAGTGGGTCCACCCAATTGGGTTTTAAGATGACCCGGATGCATACTAATTACGTATATGTTGTCCCGTTTGAGATCAGTAGACAAACATTGACTAATCATATTGAGCGCCGTTTTACTGCACCGATAGGGATATCTACTGAACCACTGGCCATCGGGTTTAGGTTTAGCCAACTCTATTGAACCCAATAATGACGATATGTTTACCACTGCTGTCTTCCGCTGAGCCGATGCTACCTATCAATTAAAATACAATATAATAATATTTATTAAATATTATTTGCTTTATAACTGAAATTTATGCAAACTTTATATTATTTATATATTTTATAATTTAAACCATACCTTAAGTAATGGTAACAATGCTTTTGTTAGCATCAATGGTGAGACAGTATTGATCTCAAAGTTTTCAATCATATCATTGGCGGTAACGTTGTCTAACTCTTTAGATATGGCAATACCGGCGTTAATAATAAGTGTATCCAAACCACGGGTGCCAACTATTTTCTGTATTTGATCGGCAACACCGCCCGTTGCAGTAAAGCTATCGTAGGCTTTACTTTCAATATGCAGTACATGAAGGTTCGGGTGCTGTGCGACTAACGCGTCCAACTCGACTCTGTTGGCCGTCTGTCTAGTTGTGGTAATCAGATGTTGGGGTGGATTCGGTTCGGACAACAATTGTCTGACCAGTTCGAGACCTATTCCCCGGTTTGCACCGGTAACTAAAACTGTTTGCAAACTCATTGTAAAATTTATTATAACAGCAATTTATTAAATGTATGTTATTATACTATAGTTAAACATTAAATACAATTGTATAAAGTTAATAGTCTTTTTATAGTCAACTTTTTTTTGTAATCAATACCTGAAAATAGTGTAGTGATGTACTAAGTATGCACTAACAAGTAAGCATTGGTACTGCAATTTACTGCTATTTTATCAATAGTTATTATTATCATTAATTTTAATATATTAAATAATACATTAATTATTAGATATAGATTGATGTATTAATGTATATGTAATTTATAAGAGAATATTTAATGTATTTCAATGAAATCAGTGACTATTATAACCAGGGTTGCTAAAGGTATCGATCTTAGGGGGGTATAGGGGATGAGCATTTTTATTGCACTTTTAAACGATATTTTTTTCAAATTTGACTAAATTCCCAATAAATTCCCAATAAATTCCCAATAAATTCCCAATAATTTCCCAATAAATTCACACTAAATTCACACTAAATTTCCAGTAAATTCCCATTAAATACCTACTAGATTGAGTTTTTATAGTTTTGTTATATATATTATGTTATTATGTAGTGTAAATAATGTTGAATAGATGTAATCAAGTATTTTATCTATTTATTTTGTATACTAAAGCTATTAATTTATATTAAATCTCACTTAGTATTTATTTTTTTGTTTAATACAAAATTTTACATAGATGAAAAAATTATCGGCGTTTTCGGCGTCAAAAATTGGTAGGGGGCACCATAATTTTTTAACTTCAGGCTAAGATAAAAGTAGGAACTACCCCGTTATAGCACAATGCACTACCAAGGCTACAGCTCCTCCCCTTTTGCTAGGCAACCAATGGGAGAGCAGCAATGGCGGACAATAACAATGGCGGACAATAACAATGACGTAATAACAATGACGCAATAACAATGACGCAATAACAATGACGTAATAACAATGACGTAATAACAATGACGTAATAACAATGACATAATAACAATGACGTAATAACAATGACGTAATAATTACGTCATAAACCGGTTTTTTATTTTATACATACCAGTTTTGCTTACCCTGGGGGTATTAGCAAGTTTCATCCCCTTCTAAGTCATAGTACCGGACAGAGAGAAAAGACCACCATTATACAGTGGTTCGGGAAAGATATTCTGGCATTATGCACCAGACTTAGAGAGAAAAGACCACCATTATACGCAATAATAACTTGGAGAGTTATACCTTTACACTTAAATTGTGACACTTATGTTTGTTTCTTGCTGTATATATAATTCTGCAGTCCGGACATTGTTTAATATATTTACACAATTTATTCTTCTTGTGTCTGTCGTAGCAATCTTGTTTATTGAATATCCTGTTGCAATCAAAACAGGATATATTTATTAACTCTCCAGAACATTTATCATAGCACTGGGAACATTTAAATTTGCACTTGTGGTCGCAGAAATTGTGATAGGAGATCATACACTCTTCACAATAATATTGCTTCCCAAAGTAACCTCTTATATTCACAATGGCGTTGTAGTGCTCATTATAATGTTCGATGTAAACTTTTTTACTTTTATCTGGACAATGACAATCTTAAACATGACATCTGTCCAATCGTCTGCATGAATTACTATAATTTGATGAAATGGAAAAAACCCTTGAATATGTTTCCATTCATCATGCCCCAATCTTGTGTTTAAATCCATACTACATTTCATCGCCAACTCATTCGCTCCATTATTCTGAGCCAAGTTCTTGTTTTTTCTTATATTCTCCCAAAGTTTTGCATTTAGATTGTTCTTGTTGTCCGTGTGATACTTGGATACGAATAAAGCTCTTAGGCCACAGCTGTTATCGTTATTTATTATGCGTACAACTGATCTCTTATTATGGCTTTGTTGTTCTATAGTTTTTGGATTTTTTTCAATTTTAGGTTTACCGCCACCATCTTGAGTCTTGCTTGTACTAATTGTTAAGTTGAAAAGTTTATCCAGGAAAAATGTCTTGAATGATTGAGCCACCATTTCCATCTTTTCATAAACCATATTAGTAGTGAAATTTTCCTTTCTTGTGTTAATGTATATAGGCGTTTTCATGTCGCGATGAGATAATATTAAAGTAATGACATCCTTAGCATCAGCATCAGGCATCATTTCTTCAATAATTTTATCCAACTGGGATACTAATTCGTGTCTAATTTCATATAAATTGGGATCTTCATTTAAATCGTGCTCAATAGTAAATGTAGTTGATCTTGCCAATTTCAGCTTATTGTAATACTTGGTTGAAATAGCAGAGTGTCTTATTAAATTCAACATTGGAAAAGGTTGCGGTTCAGACATGTTTGATAGACAATTCATTGTAAAATAATTACTATTATACTCTCGGTTTTTTAAATATACTATTACTGATAACGATCTAAAAATCAGTTTAGGGAAAACCCAGATTTCAAAGTATCTAAAATTGGAAAAACCCAGTTATTTCAAGGTCATTGACCTTAAAAACTGGAAAAACTCAGACAAACAGCAATTAAAAGTTCATTGACCCTAAAAACTGGAAAAACTCAGACAAACAGCAATTAAAAGATCATTGACCCTAAAAACTATAAAAACCCAGACAAACAGCAATTTCAAGGTCATTGAGCCTAAAATCTGGAGAAAAAAAAACAGTTAAACAGGAATTTACATAATATAGTCTATAATAGAAAAACTTGAAAACTAATAAAATTAAAATGGAATTAATAAGCTATAAAGAAAAGAAATATTATATATTCAGCACTATTGAAAAAGTTTTTAAATATAATGTTAAAAGTTTATTTTGTATAACTCAATTAAATTTTATATTAGATGAAGAATTTAATAAATATAGTGAAGAAGATATGTTTTGTTTAATATTAACTAATAAACTATATAACGTACCTTTTTATTATGCGCCAATGGAAATAATAAATTATAATTACGAAAACATACTTAATATGATTAATYAAAAACACCACGACTTTACATTTTCACAACCCAGGACTCATAAATCTTAATATGTACGTTAAATAGTATTATATATATATATATATATACTTTAGATATGTTAATACTTAACTAAAAAACACATTTTATAATACAAATTTGATTGAAAGTTACCCAATGGGTCATCCGAAACTGCCTAAATCGACAATTATTGCCTGTCACTTGTAACTATTAATTTATTATAAATATTAATAACCAAATAAGCCTAACCTATCCTAAACTAACATAA